CATTTGCTTCTGCAAGTGTGCGCAGGTCAAAATAATATTTAGCATACACGCTTGAAGGAACATTTATATTGAACTGCAGCATTTCCAGAAACTGTCTTTCCAATTCATTCCTAAATAAATATTAAGTATTTAATAAAGTATATTTTACACACATTTAATAACAGTAAAACAAACATGAACTCACATATCTTCTACTGTAATATCTTTAAGAATTTGACAGTAATCTACATTCCATACTGCCTGATCATCCCAAACTTTTGATGCTAATAAAATAGCTCCAAGTACTATTCGTTTCCAATTAGCTGGTGTTATATCTATTTCTGCATAAGTAAGCAGGCGTTCTAAGTAAACTAATGTTATAATGGCACATTCAGCTGTAAGTTGAGCAGCATTAAACAATGTCCTCACAAACTTGTAAATTTGTTTATGTTCTGGATTCTGTTTATCATAATCTTCTGTAACACCTTCCCTCTACAAATAGATGTATTTTTAAACTTGTTAAAAGATTTTATAAGTAGTCCATCAAAAATTTTAAAAGAATTTGAAGTGTTAAAACTATACAAACAGTGATATTTTGTAGAATACTTCATTTTCATGCATGATTCTTTTTTTTAAAATAACTTTTTTAGATAACTTATATTTTTCGCATAAAAGTTCTTGAGTTTAAATACTTTACAAGGAAGTGTGGTAAAGAAGTTACTTTATAACTACAAACTTGATATTTGAATCCTTGAGTCTGTAACTTTTTAAATTTTTGTTCTATACAAAGCATTTCTTTCTAGAGGTAATTACAATTACAGCATCTTTACTCATTAAATAATAAAGTCAAACAAAATTTAATTATACAAAATAAAAGCTAGAAAAACTTGCAATTACAACTAAAATTAATTTTTTTTATTCATAAAACATACATACTGAAATTAAATCTTTGTATTATTTTTCTAAATTTCGTAAAAATTTTCAAAGTATAAATTGTAGCATTCTTTGTTTATTAAAAATATTGTAATAATTTCCTTTTATCTAAATATAAATCTGATACTAAAATTACAATTGTTTTCCAAAACTGATAAACAATAAAAAAAAACTGTTAATACGTTATGTTAATAAAATATGTTAACAGTTTTTTATGCAAAATAAAATTTTAAATAAGAATTTCCATATTCATAAAAAAAAAAATATATATAAATTAGTTAAAGAAAAAAATATAAGAACGACCCTTTTTCTTTTCTTTATTACATAATAAAATACCTTTTCTCTTATACAAAACATATTAATGAATTTTAAAGTAAATAAAATATTATTATTTATAAAGATTAAAAGCCAAGAAACTTATAACATTATTTAATTAAATTTACATGTACTTTTAAATATAATCTACCAAATATATATACAATTAGATTACCGTTAAAGGATGAAGTTTCTCATCAAATATATCAATCTGTCGCTGTGAGGTTCTATTTTTAATGTGATAATAAACAGCTAAGGCAACGCATTTCACAGTATTTTTGAGATTAGGTTGTGAGACGGTACTGTCATCTAAGTATATTGTACTGCAGCTGCTACTTTTTTTTAAAGGCCTTATGTCTGCAATTTGGTGCTGACTCTTTTTTCTTACCATGCCATCTGAAAAAATTTATTTTTCAAACACATTAGTATAAAAATAACTGACACTAGAGTTCTAACTACATAAAATTTACAATATACAAACTATATCTTATATGTACTGCATCATATGTTATATATGTAATAACATATTATTGAATATTTAATGAATTGTAATCTTAAAGATATAATTTTTAGGATTATAATCATTGCTATACTGTTTTAATGACATAATGCAATTCAAATGTAATCCATCAACAATAATAATACAAAAATTAAAAATGAAATAAACATACTTTCAATAGCTTGTTTAGATCGTTCCATGAAAATAGTACCAGCACAAGGGTGTAATGATGGATCTGAATCCCAGTCTTCTGGCTCACGTTCACTAATATGTTGTAAATTATTAATGCTAATTCCACCTTCAGGTAGATGTTCTTCAAGACCACGTGTAACACCTTCAGATCCTAATTCCTTACGTCCAACTTGAGGACTGGAATAAACGCAGCAACTACTTTTATTTCCCATTCTTTCGAGAGACTCGTTTATGTCTCTATTTTGTTTCTACCCCCAGCAAAAGTTTATAAAATATAAATCAGACTATAATACACTGTACCACAGCGATTATATGGATGGTTTAATTTAAAGTTTCTCAGAGTACATCCTTCACATGTTGCTTTTAGATGATAATCAGCTAATAAAATTATCAGTAATATTAATATACATTCTTTCATTACTTTCATCCACATTGATGCTTAAATGCACCATATACAATCAACGAAAATCATTTATATAGGTTTTAACATAGAAATTACGGTTAAAAATTTCAAGAACCACTTCATAAATTTATTGCAACTAGTAATATGATAAACGTCTATTACATTGACAACGCCTTTAAGCACGGTTTGTGCCGGTTGATTTGTTGTTTAAATCATCGGTCAGTCAAATTTCATTTCTGCTCGTATACACGAGCTTTGATACGTTTTGTTCTCGTTGTACGCCATTCTCATTGTTACTGCACATTTAATGCGATTATTTTAATATTTTTATATGTTTATCGCACGCCGCCCTTAATCTGCTGTTTTGATATTGCATATTCATGCATAAACTATAATGTATATGTACATTGGAAAGGCTTGACTTTAAGTTTTACCTTGTATGCAAGTATGTTTTCATTGGTCTTATGATAAAAAAACTTTTTCTATTCTCTATGTACACTGGAATTTCTTAATGCACCTATATCATCATTGGTCGAAAACTAGGGATTTTAAGAATTTATTTCATAAAATTACTCATTTCTGCAATTTAATGCATAACATATAATACAGGTGTAATTCTTATTTTCATAAATTGGTATTTTAATAGACCGATATGTCATGTGTAACACGTACAATATTCATCGCTCTAATAGAATGTTCTGTATAATTTGTATTAAATTTAATTATATTTCTAATGATTACTTAAATATGTTATTCCAAACATAATTAAAGCAATATTTATATGTCCTTTGACAACAAAATTACGAAAATACGGGAGTACAAAAATATTTCGAATTATATGTAAGTCT